GGGGGGGGGGGCGGGGGGGGCGTTGTCGCCTGTACACGGGCCTTCAAGCTCAAGATGTATTCTCACTTTTTTGTGTGAGGGAGGAAGAGAGGGGAGGGAGGAGGAGGAGGGATGGATGGAAGGGGAGGGAAGGAAGGAAGGAAGGGGAAGGAAAGAGAAAGAGGGAAGGGAAGGATGGAAGGAGCGAAGGAAAGGGGAGGGAGGTAAGAAAGAAAGAGGGGAGAGGAGAGAGAGAGAGAGAGAGAGATTGAAGAGGTTTACATGAATTTCTCAAGCTTCGGTAACCTAGTTCTTTTATTGGCTGTCGTGGGATTATCACTCCCCCTTCTGGTGATAACATCGACAGAATTGCCAAAAACATTTTTCGTAAATGCGAAGTAGAGGTCGCTTGGTGGTTTGTTCAGCGCCATTACTAATGTAATTAGCTTTTATATGCAATGAAAATAAAGATAATGCTACATTTTGATCCATCAGTTTGTCTCTGCGTGTCCACTTCATTTTCCATCTTCTCCGGCGACACCTACGCATAACCTGCGAATAAATGAGAGCACTTCCTCCGGGGCGGGCTCTGTCATCTCGGACTGTCACGGTCTCGTTTTCTTTTGGGCGGTGTATGCACGCACCGCATGGCGCCTCCGTAATTCCACTCGCGGCGCCCGTTTCCACTCGCGGCAATCTCCCTCTGATTCCGCCGCATTCCACGTCCGTCCACCGTCTTGGGGGTTCTCCGGAGTCCACCCCCCCCCCCCCACACACACACACATACACACCCGCCCCCCTTGCTACCTGGAATCACGGGCGTCTGGGAAGGGCCACCGTCCTTCTTTTTTGGGGGACTTCCAAGGGACTTTTCTCCCCCCCACCCCCTCGTTGCAAAGTTCACGGTCGTCAGCGCCAGTGCCCAGCGCGCCCCAACTCTGCCCGGGAGTGAAGGGGCAGCGCTCGGGGAGGCGGTGCGGGCGGCGCTGGAAGGAGCAGCGACCGCGGGGGAGTGAAGGGCCCCGAGTCCCTTCCTCTGCGCTGGCCGATAGCGAAGCTTTCACTTACAGCGTCAGCGAAGTCTGGGTTGTCATGGCAACGCGCGCGCGGCCCTGCGACGACGACGGAGGGAGAGAGAGAGAGAGAGGCTTGAAAAGGGAACGGGATTCGAGCGGATTCGAGCGGCCGCGCGGGTTTCGCGCCAGGAGGGGGGGGGGAGTACGGGTAGGGGTAGCAGGAGTAGTGAAAGGAGGAGTAGTAGTAGTGGTGGTAGTTGGAGGGGGAGCAGTGGTAGGAGGATTAGGAGTAGTGGTAGTAGTAGGAGCAGCAATGGTAGTAGCAGGAGGAGTATTGGTAGTGGTAGTAGTAGTAGTGGTGGTAGTAGGAGTAGTGGTAGTAGTGGCAGGAGGAATAGTGGTAGGAGTAGGAGTAGGAGTAGTGGTGGGTGTAGGGGTAGTAGTAAGAGTAGTGGTGGTAGTAGTAGTAGGGGTAGTGGTAATAGTAATAGTAGTAAGCGTAATGGTAGTGGTAGTTATAGGAGTAAGAGTAGTGGCAGTTGCTGGAGGAAAAGTAGTGGCAGTTGTCGGAGTAAGAGTAGTGGAAGTGGCAGGAGGAAGAGTAGTGGTAGTGGTAGCAGTAGGAGTAAATAAGAGTGCGGGACTAGTAGGAGTAGGGAAAGTGATGATAATAGGAATAGAAGTAGTGGTACCATTAGCAGAAGTAGTAGTAGTAATCATGTTAGTAGTAGCATTACTTGTGCTCTTAATAGTATCGCATATTTCTTGTGGAGTACCACTATTGACGTCATTGTTATAGCCATGATGTTATCCTTATCCTTACCCAACATATCCCCACCTCAGCAGGTGGCATATGTTGCTCTCACACTCGGACCTCCCCCACTACAGCCACCTGCTCCACCTGCTCCCACTAGAGCACCTGCTCCCACTAGAGCCACCTGCTCCACTGCTCCCACTAGAGCCACCTGCTCCACCTGCTCCACCTTCTCCCACTAGAGCCACCTGCTCCACCTTCTCCCACTAGAGCCACCTGCTCCACCTCCCACTAGAGCCACCTGCTCCACCTTCTTCGTTAGGCCGTTATACTACGCAGTCCCGCTTCCCGTTACGGTTACCAGCTGCCTGTACTACTGTTAGCCCCGCGTAGCAGTTGACCGTGTGCGTGTGTAACTGTGACGCACGTGATGACGTCTTCAGCGGAGGCTCATTCACAGTTTCTGATATTTTAACAACTTTTCCTTTAAAGCCGATAGTCGTTAAGACAATTTTCATCCTGGGGGGAGAAGCCAGCGGACTGACGTTACGGATGATTGCCGGTAAAGGGGTCTCCTCTTCCGCGGATGGAGAGGAGTAGAGGTGGAAGTGAGAAGAAGGAAAGGGGGGGAAGGCCCCCCCCCATCCCGCTCCTGGGAGGGGGAGGAGGGGGGTTAGGGGGTTGGGGTTGGGGGGGTCGGCGCGTGCTTTCCATCTTTTAAGCGTTTTCACCTCGCGGGATGAATGAGGAAATCGGAAATATAATCTCTCTGCGGATCCCTTTGTTCCTCGTATTTTAAGAGGAGGGCGCGGGGCACGGGACGGGACGAGGAGGAGGATGGCGAGCGTAATGCGTAAAGGCGTAGTAATTCCCCGGCAATAGCACCCCCCTCCCTCCCCATCTCCCCCTCCCTCCCCCAACACGCACGCACTCACACACGGCGTCTCGTTCAACCTCTCTCTTCTCTTGGCAGTCTTGGGGCGAACTCCTCTTTTTTCCCCAGCTCCGGCTCCTCCTGTACGGGGTGCAGGAGACCGAATCATGAACGGGTATATATGTGCGTGTTGTTCGACTGCAGGAGACCGCTTCGCCTGGCCGTGTCCTTTGTTGTACTGGGTACCGGTACGTCGCATAGAGAGGCCCTATGTTTGTATGTGTGTATTGTATGTGGAGACGGCCAAGGGCAATTGATTAGTCACATGTTACTCTTCTTTCAACATTAAAGTCCTACCTGTTTCCATGACCACGAGTATCAACCATGAACTCCACGTTAAAGCTATGTTGAGTATTGACTATTATCTATGAATGACGAAACCACGGGGAATCAATAGCACATGCAGGTTGCTAAATAAAAGTCTCTCTCTCTCTCTCTCTCTCTCTCTCTCTCTCTCTCTCTCTCTCTCTCTCTCTCTCTCTCTCTCCTCTCTCTCTCTCTCTCTCTCTCTCTCAATCCTTCGTTATATTATCGAAAGCATTTTACCTTATCCAGAAATATTTACACAGGAAACGCACGTGTGCCTTGTGTATATTTATTTTTATCTTCCTATTTTCGTAACCCGTTGATGGAAAAAATAGCAACCTGTCCCTCACTTTTCCTTACTCTTGATACCATCTACTTGGCTGACTAATCTTGCCTCGACCTGCGCTGCCATTCAACTGGCCCCGTATTTCATCGAAACAGTTTCTGCGAAATGCTGAAATATGTCGAGTCAGTGTTCGCAGCGGTTGTTGCAGGGTGAATAGCGGATCGGATACAGCGCAATCATTCACGGCTTCGGTCGACCCCCATCACGTACCCAGCGGAGGCCGAAAAAAAAGGGGTAGAGTTCCCTTCCCCACTTTTTTCACTGCGCCATCAGCCATAGGGTATCCCCCACAATGGGGAGTGGATTTTCGTCTTAATTACCCGTCGTCCTGTTCGGCAACCATAGAGCACTGCCTACAGTAGCGCTACTACGGTTCTAGCAGCGACTGTGGAGTAACATGATTTTGTTCTATTTTTCCGTCCTTGGCATGAGGTAATGTCACTATTTAACATGCCCACCACCCAGCTAGTGCCCAAACTACAACACCTACGAGCAGCAGCCTGCCGTGCCAGGCAACGTGCTCAGCATTTCCAGCCTTTTAGCTCTTCCATGCTTGAGGTACACAAACAAGAGAGGGGGAGCGAGAGGCAGAGACCCTATTTATTTTTAGGAACAAACAAGCGACCAGGTCTTGCGGTAATGGTAGCTGTAGCTGCACTAGAATGAAGGATGCGTTTAAATGGACAAAACATAGGTCGTGGCTGTTGTTCAGGGTATTTAATTGGGTATTTGCAAGTTGTTATTGAGGTTGCAAGGCAGTCGGAGGTTGAGGTGGCGGGGAGAGGGGGTGAGGGGATTTGCACCGTAGCGCTACCACAGGACAAAGCCTTTTTGACTTCGGTTTTCACAGCACTACTTTCAGGCGACCGTATCTATTATCCGGCGGATTTGAACATCAGGCGAGAGGGCGTGACCATGGCTGCAGGCGACCATGAGCGCTCGTTAGAGGTCCTGTACTTGATAGAGCAGCTGAAGTCGCTTTAGCGGGGGTGGTGTTGCAGGGCTCACAGTATCGGGGTCAGACCGAGCCACCACGACCGCTCCCGCCGCCACCATTATCAGTGTCTGGCAGCGGTGCACCCGTGCTTCATCGAACATCGCGCCTCTTGTACACCATAACTATCGTACGGCACTCAACCATCACACCACAAACTGCTCTGATTGTTTTTTTTTCCTCTCCACTTCGTTTCACCGGCAAATACCCAATACTCATGTGCACGAAACATGAATCGCAGCACTGGATTTATTCATTGGCAAAGGGAAGTGAACACAACGACTGGGAGGGAGGTGACTGAAGCAGGGCGAGGCGGGCTATCCACTGTTGAGTGCGATCTGGCAGGTTGAGTCGTGCCGCTGGCTGCCTTGTTGGTGCGCCGATACAGTTGCCAACTAGCTGAAACTTCACTATTATTTGATTCGATTTAACACCTCTACCCTACAAATGCTTAGTTTTGTCGATTGTTTATGTAGAAAGCTGTTTCATGGAACATCTCGTGTTCTCGATAAGTAGTGACGGACGTGCATAAAGGGTTGATAAAATGACGGTGATGTTCCCGTAGCTATGGAGAGCAGCTTGGGACGAGAGCTGCGGCATGTGGGCACTGAGAAGAGCTGGGGACGATCCACATTATTGTTGTGATGGCGGAGGATCGGTAGTGAGAGTGGCTGGGGACGAGAGCGCGCCACTACCTCTGTCTTGGCGACACAGCCAGGATCGGCTCGTCGAACGTTTTCCATAACCTTCGTCCGAGTTTCGTCCTGCTGCACTTGATTTGCAACTCGTAAATTGCATCCGAGGGATACGGGGCGCCCGAAATCGTAAAGCTTCCAGGGCGTGCGACGCGACGTGGAAATAAAGTTCAATGAAGCAATGCTGCACGTTTGTTTAGTATCGTTGTGACTTCAGGAAAATAATGGGTGTGGGCTCCTTTGCGAACGTCTTGGCTTGGAGAGGCGTCTCGCACTAGTTTATGTATGCTTGTATACATATACTCATATATTTGTGTGTGTGCGTTTGTTTGTGTGCGCGTGCGTGCGTGCGTGTGTGTGTGCGTGCACGACAGGAGTGCAATGAGCGCCCTTGAATTCACCGCCTCCCGTGGCAGATGGGCGGCGCAGGCGGGCAGTGAAGACCTTGCTCCTGCGTCTAGGAGCATGCCAGGGTCAACAGTACCTGGCAAGTAGGCATTGCCTACCCGTCTCTTGCCCTTCAGAACGCCTCCCAAGGTTTGGATTCTTGATGTTCACGCTCCGAGCGGAGGCGACACCGGAATAAGTGTTCCGATGCATTGAGGGTCACACACAATGAAGTGATTGATGTAGCTACAGGTGGAAGTTGGTCTGCTCGCGTTAGGATGTCTCTGCCGGCGGTTGCTGCACCTTCGCCCTGGCCACTTAACCTTGCAGTGGGCTGCGTTGCTCGCACCCCTCCTCCCTTGACCCCCGTATGGCCACCCCTCGGCGGATGAACAAAAGCACGGGTGTGTAAGGGCAACACTATGACGGTTTCCACGTAAACACGCTTGCCTGGGGGACAGCACTCGCCTGGACTGGGGTGATTATGATTGCAGGCGGCAGCGGACACAAGTGGGCCGGGGCCGGACACTTCACCATTGCTCATTTTAATATTGGTTATATCTGGTCATACCACAGTTGATTCGAACGTTTTTTTGTGTGCTGTTTCTACAGTGCGGGTGGCAGATGAGAGACGAGCAGTGCTTTCACTTTTTCTGACTAACGCTCACAGACTATCACCGGCCAGCCGCTGCTCTGTCCCTCGTTATGGCACAAGTTTATACCACTAGCGTTTTGACTGAAGCTGCCACCTCCACACTTGTGAATGAATCGATACACAGGGTCCTGCGCTCTACTACCTCATCGTCTCAGCCACCACCCCACCACCCTTCGAACTCACCCTTCTAACTCACCCTCAGACCTCACCCTCCCAACTCACCCTCAGACCTCACCCTTCTAACTCACCCTCAGACCTCACCCTCTGAACTTACCCTCCGACTCGGCCTTCGAACTCACCCACAACGAGAGTACTACAAACACTCGGGTGATGTGCGCTTGCGTAGGCCTGCAATCGTGCACGCATCCGTAAGCCCACACAATGCCATGCGTAGGCCTACAGTTTCAAGATGAATCGGTGGTGCAGAGGGACTCAACTCCGGGTTAGTAGCAACGTGCAACAACTGATAGGTATTGAGATGTACAACCGTCTTTCGCGGTATTGAATTAAGGTACCAGTTCAGTATTGCCCACACTTAAGGTCCTTCATGCATTCTTACGCGTAATGCCATCTGAAATCACATCCGATCCGAACAAGCACGAGCTTTGGAACACTTGATTGGGTGCACGAGCCCCGCCCAGGACATGCCCGAAAGGACTTGGGAAGTAGACGATTTATGCGCCCAAATTGAAGTATGAGAATGTTACTGAAAAAAAAAAACATGAATGCACATGCGCGCGCGCGTACACACACACACACACACACACACACACACACACACACACACACACACACACACACACACACACACACACCACACACACACACACACACACACACACATGCACTCCCCCCCCCACACACACATGCACACATACACATGCACACACATACACATGCACACATACACACACACATGCATACACATACATTAACATACACACACTCACACTCACACTTGCACACATACATGCACATGCATGCACATGCATGCACATGTGCACATATACACTAGCACATCAATACATACACAAAGACGCATGCACATACTTTTAGATACACCCATACATGCATATGCACGTGTATATGCACTCCTAGATGTACACACTCACATTCACACAAATGTACACGCACACACACCATGTACACACATACACATGTACACATACACATGTACACATACACATGTACACATACACATGTACACATACACATGTACACATACACATGTACACATACACATGTACACATACACATTTATGCACATGCACATGTACACACATGCACATGTACACACATGCACATGTACACACATACACATGTACACACATACACATGTACACACATACACATATGTATATGCACACACATGTATACACACACATGTATACACACACATGTATACACACACATGTATACACACACATGTATACACACACATGTATACACACACATGTATACACACACATGTATACACACACATGTATACACACATATATATGCACACACATAAGCACATACACCTGTACACACCTGTACACACGCGCACACATACTCACGTGTAAACACATGTACAGACATGTGTACACAAACTTACACAGTTTAGACACTCACACGGATACAAACACTTACACAGACTTATGTATACACATGCACAGTCACACACGCATAGACAATTCAGATTTCGTATTCCTCAGAGGGACATATGGCACTCTGTTATGGTTTTACATATTTTGATGTCCAGATGCTTTTGATGTAAAATGATATAAATGAAGTGCTCTGTGAGATTGATATTGATAATTGTAAAAGAGATGATATAGTCACTTAAAAGTATGAATTATTTGACTAATGTTCTCTCTCCTTCATTTTCAGGTGTAATGTAGTGCGTGATGAAACGTCGTGTTGATGATCTATCTGGTCGGGGAGAGGCAGTATCAGGCATTGTGAGTGCTGGGGGGGTTGCTAGTGGAATTCCTCAGGGGGGCAGGGGCTCCTGGAGGACCTGGGGGGTTAGTGGGGCGCAAGGGAGCTATGTTAGAGGACCTACAGTCACTCAACTGGGACCGCGTCCTGGACAGCCGAGTACGCCCGTAGCAAGTGCAGCAGCAGCTGCAGCTGTAGCAGTAGCAGCAGCAGGGACCCCTGTGCCTGGAGTGGTGCCTGTGCCAGCAACAACTGCTGCCCAAGGAGGCACTCCCACTTCCATTGAACACCAGTCTCACAATCCTACTCATCAACCAGGTGAGAAATCCTAATCTATGCATTTAGAAAGTCATGTGTGGACTCGCTTCCTGAGGGCAGTGGTCAACATGTACATCCTGCCTTTTTTTCTTGTCTAATTTTCTCTGCCGTTTTATGAACATTATTTTGATTTTCTCATCTTCCTTCCTTCCTTCCTGCCTCCCTTCCTTCCTCCCTTCCTGCCTCCCTTCCCTTCCTCCCTCCTTCTTTTCCTCCTCCCTACCTGTCTCTTTCCCTCCCTTCCTACCTCCCTCCCTCCCATCCTGTCTCTTTCCCTCCCTTCCTACCTCCCCCTCCCTCCCATCCTGCTTCTCTCTTTCCCTCCCTTCCTACTCCCCTCCCTCCCATCCTGCTCTCTCTTCCATCCTCCTTCCCTCCATCCTCCTCCTCTCTGCTGGCCTCTCAGTCTCCCTCCCTCCCTCCCTTCCCCTCCTTCTGGCCTCTGAGTCTCCATCCCTCCATCCCTTCCTGCCTATCTGTCTCCTTCCCTCCCTCCCTTCCCTGCCTCTCCCGCCCCCTCTCTCTCTCCCTCTCTCCTCTCTCTCCCCCTCCTCCTCTCTCCTCCTCCTCTCATCTCCCTCCTCCTCTCTCTCCCTCCTCTCTCTCTCCCTCCTCCTCTCTCTCCCCTCCTCTCTCTCCTCCTCTCTCTCCTCTCCTTCCTCTCTCTCTCTTTCTCTCTCTCTCTCTCTCTCTCTCTCTCTCTCTCTCTCCTCTCTCTCTCTCTCCTCTCTCTCTCTCTCCTAACCCTCTCTCTGCTCTTCTCTCCTTTCCCCCTCTCTCTCTCCTTCTCTCCGCTATCCCGCCTCTCTCTCTCCCTCTCTCCTCCTTCTCTCTCTCCTCTCTCTCTCTCTCTCTCCTCCTCTCTCTCTCTCTCTCTCCTCTCTCTCTCTCTCTCTCTCTCTCTCTCTCCCTAACCCACTCTCTTGCTCCTTCTCTCCTTTCCTCTCTCTCTCCTTCTCTCCCTATCCTCTCTCTCTCCTCCTCTCCTCGTCCTCCCCTTCCTCTCTCCTGCCTTCTCTCTCTCCCTCGTCTCTCTCCTCTCTCTCTCCTCTGTCTTCTTCTCTCCTCTCTCTTCTCTCTCTGTCTCCTCTCTCTCTNGGGGTATGAAGATGAAAGACAGAAGAGCATAGGAAAGGGTAAGACAAGGAAAGTAAAGAGAGAGTAGATATATTAAGTACACTTAAGGCAAATATTGGGGAGGTTAAGGTTGGAAGTTAAGGGATTTGGTGGTGAGGGAAGGACATAGAAGGGAGACGTTAGAGAACGAGGGTAGGAAGGAAGGAACAGACAGAGAGAAATTAGGAAAGGAGAATTGAGGACACGAGAAGTAGGAAGGGAAAGGGATAACAGGGGATAGGGAGAAAGGACAAGGAAGAGAAAAGAAGTAAGTTAAGAGGGGAGACAGTGGTAGGGAGAAAGGAAAGAAGAGGTCTTATTACGGTTAGAGGGGAAGAGACTCGAGACGAAGAAGGAATTGTAAAAGACACGAAACAGGAGTGAGAGAGATGAGAAGAGAAGAAGAAGAGGAAGATTGAAGGGGAGACTCAAAATTTGGAAGAATTCGGTTCCTCCTCACCCTAGCTGCGGACAGGATTAAGACCACAGGTTTTGATGGGAATGTAGGGCATGATGTAAGATGAATAATCTATGTACGATTGGAATATTGATGATAGGATCGGAAGTAGATATATGGCACTGATCAATAGGTTGGTGGTACAGTAGTGATATAGACAGACATGGCAATAACTGGTTCCCGAGTCGTATAAGTACGATATGAGAGTATACAGGTGTATTAAGGTACGATCAGAGCGCATAGCTAGCATAATTGCAGGTCGTAATTGGTCCATGTTTGTTCTGGATAGCTATACTACTCGTAAAAATTGTAACACTTCGAAGAGTTGGTATTGGTTGCTGTGGCGAAGAGAGGGGAGGGGCGAGAGGGAGAGGGGGGAGAGGGGGCGCAGAGAGGAAGAGGAAGAGGAAGGAGGGGGGATTAGAGAATAAAAGGGTGGATAGGAAGAAGACGGAGGAGGAGATAGCAAAAGAGAAAGGAAAGGAGGAGGAGAGAATAAAGGAGAGCACGGAGGAGAGGGAGAGGAAGGAAGAATAGGAAGGAGAGGAGAGAGGTGGGAAAGTAGGAGGAGAGGAAGAGAAGGAGGAGAGGATGGAAGAGGAGGAGGAGGAAGATGAGAGAGAAAATAGAGGAGGAAGTGATAGGAGGGGCTGGACGTAAAGTAGGAAGAAGAGGGAGAGCGGGGGAACAGGAGGAAAGAGGAGGAAGGGGAGAAAGAAATTAGGAGGAGGAGTGGAAGGGAAGGAGAAAATATTAAAAGAAAAATGAAAAAAAGGAGAGAGAGAAAAGATGAAAAGAGGAGATAGAAAAAGTAGAAGATGAATGAAAAAAATGAAATCTGAGAGGAAATTATGGAGAAGAAGAAGTAAGAAATATGGAGAATGTGAAGAGAAAAAGGAGGAGCAAAAGAAGAGTTGAATAAAAACATGAAAGAATCTAAGAAAGAGAAGGGAAAAAAAATAAAGAAGAAATAGACGAATTAGTCAGAAGAGAGAGAAAGAGAGAGAGAGAGAGAGAGAGAGAGAGAGAGAGAAGAGAGAGAGAGAGAGAGAGAGAGAGAGAGAGAGAGAGAGAGAGAGAGAGAGAGAGAGAGAGAGAGAGAGAGAGAGAGAGAGACATATTGAGAGAGAGACGGAGGTAGAGGAGAGAGAGAGAGAGAGGCAGACAGAGAGAGAAAGAGAGAGAGAGAGGCAGACAGAGAGAGAAAACAGAGAGAGAGAGGGCAGACAGAGAGAGAGAGAGAGGCAGACAGAGAGAGAGAGAGACAGTGACAGAGACAGAGAGACCAAGAGAGAGACAGAGAGAGCGCGAGGAGCGAGAGATAGAGAGGAGAAAATACAGTCAGGTAATTCCACAAGGGAACCAGACTTTTGATTCGAAAATGGAACTTGAAAACATTGGACATCTTTCTGAAAGGCAAATAGCAGATATTTCAAATAAAATCGAATAACATCTTGTTCCCGGTCGCTGTAGACATCTGTCCTCGTTAGCCAGTTACCGTAATACAGAGATACAGATATCATCTATTTCCTTCTCCTCCCTTCTTCTTCTCTCCTTTCCCCTCTCCCCTCCTCTCTTCTCTCCTTTTCCCTCTCCCCTCCTCTCTTCTCTCCTTTCCCCTCCCTCTCCCCCTCCCTCTCTTCTTCTCTCCTTTAACCTCTCCTCTCCTCTCCCTCTCTTCTCTCCTTTCCTCTCACCACTCCTCCTCTCTTCTTCTCTCCTTTCCCCTCTCCTCTCCCTCTTTTCTTCTCTCCTTTACCCTCTCCCTCTCCCCCTCCCTCTCTTCTCTCCGTTCCCTCTCCCTCTCTCCTCTCCTTTCCTCTCCCCTCCCTCTCCCCCTCCCTCTCCTCTCTTCTTCTCTCCTTTCCTCTCCCCTTTCTTCTCTCCTTTCTCTCCTCCCTCTTTCTCCTTTCCTCTCTTCTATCTTTCCCTCCCCTCTCCCCCTCCCTTCTTCTCTCCTTTCCCCTCTCCCCTCCCTCTCTTCTCTCCTTTACCTCTCCCCCTCCCTCTCTTCTCTCTTTCCCTCTCCCCCTCCTCTCTTCTCTCCTTTCCCTCTCCCTCTCCTCTCTATCTTCTCCCTCTCCTTCTCTTCCCTCCCCTCTCCCCTCCTCTCTTCTCTCCTTTTCCTCCCTCCTCTCCCTCTTTTCTTGTATCCTTCCCTCTCTCTCCCTCTTTTCTTCTCTCCTTTCCCCTCTCCTCTCCCTCTCTTCTCTCCTTTCTCTCTCCTCTCTCCCTCTCTCTTCTCTCCTTTCCCTCTCCTCTCCCTCTTTTCTTCTCTCCTTTCCCCTCTCCCTCCCTCTCTTCTTCTCTCCTTTCCCCTCTCCCCTCCCTCTCTTTCTTCTCTCCTTTCCCCTCTCCCCTCCCTCTCTTCTTCTCTCCCTTTCCCTCTTCCCCCTCCCTCTCTTCTCTCCTTTCCCCTCCCCTCTCCCCCTCTCTCACTTTCCAGCCCTTACCCTGATAATGATGATAGTGATAATGATAATGATAATAATAATGATAGCAACGATAACGATAATGATACTGATAATAATGATAATAGTACAGATAATGATAAAAATAATGATAGTAATAATGATAATAATAATGATGATGATGACATTAATGACAATGATGATGATACTAACGATAATGACAATAATGATAAAATGATGATAATAAAATGAATAATATACTAATATGATAATGTAATGATAATGATAATGATAATAGTTATAATGATAATCATAAAATGATAATGATTATAATGATAATAATGATATTAATGCAAATAGTGATAATGATAATAATAATGAAGATAATAATAATATTAATAATAATGATAAGAAGAAGAATGATAATAATAATAGTAATAATAATAATAATAATAATAATAATAATGATAATAATAATAATAATAATAATAATAATAATAATAATATAATAATAATAATAATAATAATGATAATAATAACAATGATATTGCAAATAGTGATAATGACAATAATAATAATCATAATAGTAATAATGATAATGATTGTGATAATGGATTTATTATTGTAATAATGACAATCATAATGTGTGTGTGTTTTGTGCGCGTACATGTGTGTGTGTACGTACATGTGTGTGTGTTTTACGTACATGTGTACGTATGTATGTAGACACGTGCGTCTATTGCCGAAAACATTAGCAAAAATGATGAGTCACGCGGCAATAACTCCAAAAAGCAAGGAGAGAAATGATAATAGCTTTAAACCGATCAATCATTTTTGTAACCGACTCTTTGTAGTCCGTAAAAGCATTTCATTTTTTTTTTTTTTTCTTTTTCCAACCTTCCGTTTTATTCGAAAAAGAACCGAGTAGTCATTGTCATAAAGTCATTTTAGTATCTTTGTTTTAGAATACTAAATGATAATTGTATTAGAGTTATTACTGTTATACCGTAATACCTCAGCCTGTCACGTGACTTTGAGAAATTTCATCCCCTCCCCTCCTTTACTTCCCTTCC